TACATAGACTTCGCTCCGAAGATTCTCATTTTGAGCGGGGGAGATGAAAGCTTCGAAGATACCGTCGTCGAGGTCTCAGGGGAGATCCAGCTTCGAGTGAATCGATTATCCTCGCGTATTCTGTTCCTTGTCGCTCACGACTCGGAGCCCGAACGCTCGGGTGATAACTCGACGTTCAACAGCGTGAATTCGTCGAGCGGCCGGGCATTCCAGGTTGTAGTTCACCGAATTTCGTCTCCGGAACGACCCTAAGACCCGAAGACAACGACAACAACAACAACATCTTCTCGAAAACGATAGAATGGCGCTCGGGAACATCTTCTGCAGGCGAGAATGAAGATCACATCGCCTGCGAAGAGACAGAAATAAAAGAGCTGAAAAAAGAAACGGGAAATCATTTTGAGCGGCTCAAGACGAACTATGGAAACCGTTTTATGTTTATGTCCCGGCGGTTCAAACACATCTAGCAGAACTAAGAGAGCAACAACGACGATCGCGTTCCCCAAGCGGGACAGAGTGGACTGGCCACGGAGCGGGTCTTCCGATCTGGCATGATGTTCTCAAGCTCCGCGATGCATGTTCGTTTCTTGTGTCGGCCCCATATTCGGCGCTTTCTTCTCGGACCGATATGATTTCCGCCGATGTCCAATTGAACAGATGCTTTTGGACAGAGAAACGTTCGCCGGCTGGACCTTCCGTCGGAGTTTCCAAGTCGAGCCTTATCTCGAAATGTGAACGTATTCCGCTCCCGATAATGCCGACAGAGCTCATCAGCTGATGAGATTCCTCTCTCCATCATGAATCGAATACCTCATGGCCTCATGGACTATGTGCAACGATCTCGGTCCGAATCATGACTCCTCATCCTCCCTTATAATTATTGAGACGGATTCTTCGCGAATCTCTGAGACCCTAGTTGAACTTCTGTGCGGTTTTGTCGATATTGAGCGAAGTGAGCGTGTTTTAGCGAAAGCTCCGGAAGCGATTCCTGGTTCCGCCGCGCCACCGTCATTGGGTTCAGAGTTCAGTAATGAGCTGCAGGAAGTATGTTTAACAGCATTACGTAATGGAGTTGCGTCGCGCGGATGTAAACGGCAGACCGACGACAAAAGGAACAACGCGCATGCAACCGAACGATGGCCTTGGCTTGACCCTCAGCCCCGCCCGTGCTACACTTCTGCCCCTTCGGACTTCTGTTCACTTCTCCGGGCTGTTCTGGGATTGGTCCAGAATCCGCTGACGCGAGGCTCTGAAGGACTCCGCTGAAGGTTGAGGTTGTTCGTCACTGTTGCCACTGCGGCTGCTTCTGGAGCCACTGCTGTTGGATAATCGGAATAAAAATCCGTTGGCGCGCTTCTGGAACGGACCAAATAAAAGCACTCGACGCCCTTTAGGGCAAGCGTTGCCAACGAACTTCTCGATGAGTCCATCCGAACGCCTCTAATAACCCGCTCCCCGGGTTATTAGAGCGTCCCTCCCCCAGTGAGTGACTTATCCATTGGCGGACCGGCTGATTGGGAGCCAAGAATAGGAATTCATGTCGACTTGTCCGAATACAGATCCGGGCTCGCTTGTTACCTAAAGGTGTCGCGCGGAACTCTGGGGACATTCGAAACGTCAGACAATCAGTCCGTCCGTCAGTCAGTCATCCGCCAGTCCGTCGGCTGGACTGACGGCTAGATGGATGTCTTCTCTTCAACTGAACATGCGTAAAATGATCCCATTTTGTCGACCGGCAGGAGCAACGCGAGCGGGAAGAAAAAGAAAACGATTTGACCACCTCTCGCCTTCCCTCTGACTCTTTGGCGTCGTTTCGTCGGTGTCGATGCCGATAAGTACTTGAAGTACTTTTGGGCGGTCCACGGGCTGCCTGACCAGCGCTGACCGAGCGATGGGTCGCTCGATAAACAAAACTCTTCGCGGAGGACTCACTGGTTTGCTCGATCAGCGATCGTCCACTCAGTCAGACGACCGCTTGCGACTTCTGATGATCCTGAGTCGGAACAACGTCGACATCCTAAGAGCATTGCCACTCCGGGGACACCGTCGAATCCATTCCTGCGAATTGGAGCATTGCACCTCAGGAATCGTAGTCACTTCCCTAATTACGAGGCTCCTCGTACCGAGTTGACCCTAGAAATATAGAGATGCTGGAAATCTGCATTGCCATCGATCGCCATCCCGTCGAGGAGCTGCATCTCGAGGGCAGCGCGTTCCTCGCTTGAGAAGGACCGAAATACGCAATGAATTGAGATCGGATACTTGAAAATCTCAGACTCTATCCGTGGTAGCATTGACAACTCAACGCGTACGTCCAAGGACACTCGATTCGAAGCCTCGTGAACTGTCAGCACATATTTTGTTAGCACCGTTGTTTCCGGCTGAGATTTATTAACCTTTGGATGCGAGTCTCTGGATTTTTTCTTCTGAAGCGACGAGTCTTTCGACAGAAGATTTGTGTTTGTTTGAAAGTCAGTGTGGTTGTTGGCTGCGAACGAATAATAGAAGCCAAGAGCACAGGAGAAGCAGGAGAAACAGTACTTCATTGACGCTCTCCTTAAAAAGACGGCGTGGCGAACCGATTAGCGAGGTAACCAAAAGCCAAAAACGGCGCTCGCTTGGCTCCTTCACATGTGCTTTTTCTCTCGCCGACTACGGTCGAATACAAGTTTTGAATAGAGAATTGTTCCGTTTCCTCGCAATCTATTTGTGGCGATTATGTGCGAGCGACCGGTAGTGATGCCTATTGACTCGTTCCGAGAGGAAGCCACGGCTGCGGCTAGTGGTCGGAGCCGGTCACCCAATGGGGAAGACTCAGCCGTCTCCGCGGTTCTTTGCCGTGTTGACCCAAGTTCCGCGACAGGGACTTCGATTCAATGGGTCGCCAACCCCAGAAACGAGACGTAAGCTCAAATTGGATCTCCTTGACTCGATCCCCGGCTGTTCTCCGCTCTTCCGCTGATGAACATCTAAATTGCTCGAGGAAAGAGGTAAGGATCCGTACAGCGTATTGTCACTGGAAGCGAAAGCAAAGCCCCGCAGCCACCTCCATGCGAAGTGCAAAGCCGAGACGTGCAAACGTCGTGTCGGCGAGTTACAGCTCTATTTCAATGTCAAGGGTCTGTGATCGGGAAGCCGAATACGATGACGACAACCACGTTTTCTGAACGACGGCGATAGCACAGTGGGAAACGCCAATCGAAGGCGAAATACTTACTATCTTACTCCGGTCTCTTTTGGCAGAACATCAGATGACATTCAAACGCGAATGTACTTCGACTGAATTCATTCAATGATAGACAAAAAACTCCCACGAGTATTGTCCCACACATCGTCGTCTTCTTCGGCCAACAACGACGACATCGTTGTGGAGATAACGAGTCGGGATTATCGAGCGATTATATCCGCGGCTTCGGATTGTTCAGCTTCCAGATTAATGCTAAACTCGCTAGAACTCGGGCGCGCAAGGGTCTTCTGGTTGGTGACTTCGCCGGTCGGTGTCGTCCGAATGAACGGAAAAGAAAAACACCGAGTCGATATTCACATTGTTGTCGACGGTTTCGCGGAACGTTTTCGCGGTTCGCGGTCAGGTACGACGCCGTAAATTCTGCTGTAAACCGTTCCGGGTCGGAATCTTCACTTTCGGAGTCGTCGTCATACTCGCAGTCGGACGACTTTGTTGCTCGATGCAAGTGTTCTGTGAGAAACATGCATTGATTCCGTTAGCAGCGGAAAATGCGAGATCTGCCGCTAAAGTAAAAGTTTCTTCTTATTCGATCGTTGTTGTTGACGATGCAGCCGCCACTCGGCCGACCGTCGTAGACGGCGAGGCTGTCTGTGAATCAACTTGAAGAACTACTACAGCGAACACGTGTGGGCGAAATGTCCGAGAAAGAAGTTATTTGCTCTTCGGCCGCCAGAAAAAGAAAGAAATTCCCCATTTCTCTCTGCTTCTATTATTTTAGTGCCGGATTCCTCTTCTTCTGAAATCCACCTCGCTGCCTCGTTGAACGCATCATGGGCGCGGCGCTCACCTCGATCACGCGGCCCCGTCTCGGCAGATTTTCCGATCGATGGATCCACTACGTTGGATCGGCTCGTCAAACAATTCGCAAATCAGTTCATCTACTCCGTCGACTCACGGAAATATCATCGATAGAGGAACGCTCCGCGCGAAAACACTCGAGATCTGTTCTCGTGACCCCGTTGAGTATGAAAGGTCACATCCGAGACGGACTCATAAAAATGAACGGCGCGAAAAAGAAGAACAGAAAGGAATATCCTGAGAACCTCTACCCTTAGCAATGGGATGCGAGAATGAGAAAAACTCTTCGCCTCTTCTGCTCTTCCGCCGTGAAATAAATAACGCGTTTTTTCAGATTTCCTTTCTTCTCCCTCTGACGAACGTAAGCTACGAGATTGTACGGCTCCCCTCAGTTTCTCGTGAGCCGGATCAATGTGGCGTTAAGCTCTGTCTGTCTGTGTATGAGAAGGAACGGCGCGGCGTCTGTTGAATAGCCCAGCGATCGCGTACAGAAACGATCGATCTCTCTCCGAAAGCCAATATGACACTATTGAAGAGGAAAAATAACGAGCTGACTATTTGATCATTCCACGATGTGAACGGAACGTCCAGAAATAATGGGGGGAACAGCAAGCGATAACATGGACCTTGGGCCCAACTTTTTTGCGTCCGGGAATTCCAGAGAGTTCCGGTGCGGAAGCTTCGGTGCGGGCATGGCGCGATTTGCGTACGGTCGCTCGCCCGAATCTACCTTCCATCATTAGGTGGTTTCCCCGCATTCCAATTCCGATCCGAGCCGCGCGTCCTCGATTGGCGAAATTCTAGCCCAGAGCTTTCCCGGAATGCTTCTGTTTTAGCGTTATCAGCGTGAAATTTCCGCCGCATCTGGATGAAGTCCAGAACGGGAATTCATCAAGTCTAAAGCAACACCTTTTTTCGATTGCAGTTACCATATGACTTGTCGGTGCGTTGCCCCATGAGGATGATCTCAGATAGCGAACTCACAACTGAGGTAGACTCACTCGGAGACGAGGCACATTCCCCTGCGGGTTCCGGGGACACGATCAACACCTCGGATCACGAACCCAGCTCAAAGAATCCCAAAGCTGCCGCGGCGTCATCTCTGAACGCGGTAAGTTCCCCATCATATCGTCGAGCTCTCTTTTCTTCTTCGGACGGACCTCGTAAATCAATGGAGTCTCTTTGGAATGGGTGCGGGTGTTTTGTGGTCGGTATCAGGGATACTGACGCAATCCGCGACCGAAGAGTTGGGATCGCGTTATTATGTCTATTCAGACATCATCACCTCCGTTATCGTGCTCTAGCGCCGTCGTCGGACGAAGCACACCGGAGCCTCTGAATAACGAGCAGCTTTTTCTCATTGGCAGCTCGTCTCGCATCCAGGATTCGGCCTGTCCGCTTTATCTATGGCAAACTTCTATCCCGAACAAATCAGCCTAGCTCTCAAAGCTGCCGAATATCAAGGTGCCGAAGGACTTATACGATTGGGCTCGTTCGACGCTCGACGAGGAGTCAATGGAAGAACGTCGCCCAGCGAATCGTGCGTGGTGTGCGGTGACAGGGCTTCCGGGAGGCACTACGGAGCCATAAGTTGCGAAGGGTGCAAAGGATTCTTCAAACGAAGCATTCGCAAACAACTGGGCTATGCCTGCCGAGGAGACCGAAACTGTGAAGTCACCAAACACCACCGAAATCGCTGTCAGCACTGTCGGCTTCAAAAATGTCTTCAGATGGGAATGCGCGCCGACGGTGAGCATCAACTGCGGGCATTAAGAGACCTGTAGAGAAGATATCGGAGATGCAATACACAGATCAAAACTTATGGGGAAATCGAATAAGTCGGAACCCACAGTGTTTTCTCCCGAATCCACGCGGCTTTACCGCTTCGGCTGGCCGAAGAGCCGCGGACCCCGATCCGCAGCTAGTTGGCCTGAAGATGTGTGATTTAACGCGTTGTGCATTCTACCGTTTCAGCTGTTCAGTCCGAACGGAAGCCGGCCACCATGAGCTCGTCGGCAAACGAAAATCGCTTTGAGAAAAACGTTTCCCCGTCTTCTGGGGCCTCCCCGAGCTCCAACTTGCTCTTGCCGTCAATGGCCGCTCATCGAGCTTTGGCAGCCGGCCTGCACTCTTTTACCGAGAAAGATCTTCACAGCGCACTCAGTGAGTTCACGTCAGAAGTTGGAAAATTAGGGCAACGGGGTGATATTTTTGGATTTTTCGATCTCTCGAAAAATCTTCTCCCGTTGAGTATCGTCGCAGGCTTCGACCATCTGGGTGCCTGAGCGACCAAACTAGAATCCCTCAAGATCTGCCGGCAGTGAGCTCGAGCTGATCCGATCGTCCCAGGGCCGGAACTCTGGATGGCGGAATCTAAATTCGTTCCTTTCCCTTGAACAGAATCACCCGCCTCCATCGAATCCTTAGGTACCTTGGCGAGCGTGGTTACGACGTTAGCCAACATCCGTAAGGTCCAAGAAGGAAACGAGATTCAGGATCTTCACAACGGCCAGAGATCGGTACGATTACGTTAACACCTTAATGACCACATCGACCTGCACGTCTCCCCTACGTATGGTCACCCCTGGCAGCAAACTAGAGGGGGAACCGGCCGCCGAAATGATCGAGTGGCTGGCGAGTCCCACGGTCCGGGTGCGGATGGTGATTGTCGCGCTCGAGCTGACACGACGACATATTTTCTTATCGGCCCATCATTTTAATTTGCAGTCACCCTCGATCAAAGCCGAACCTCTCGAGAAAGAACCTTTCCGAAGCGAGTTTGTTCGACACGATCAACTCGAATTCCGTTTGACACCCTTCACCGACAACAACAATGAGGATCCGCTCGTCACGGAAAACGGCGAACTCAACGCTCATTTCGTTTCTGAATCCGCTTCGAGACTCCTCTTCATGTCCATACACTGGGCTAAGGGACTGGAGCCCTTCCAACACTTGCAGTGAGTGAGATCGAATCAAGGGAAATGCTGATGGATACTGTTGAAAAGCGCCGGCTCCATACGTGCGAATGGGGCGATCAATCAATGGCCTTTTAGTCGGAATACCTGCTCGATATGTCCCAATAACCTTCCGTTGAATCGTTCACAGTTCCGAGATCCAGACCTTACTTATCAAAAACTGTTGGGCTGAACTCTTCTGCTTGGGGCTCGCGCAGTGCTCGAAGCAGATGTCGGTAGCGGCCATCCTCAAGGCGCTCAAAAAACAACTCCAACGGCATCCTCACGAAGATCCCAACAGAAACAGACAGGTTGAAAGTCATCTGCAGCGGTTGACCTCGTTCATCGAGACGGTTGGCGCGCTGGGACTTTGCGATCTCGAGCTCGCCTTGCTGAAGGCGGTGGTTTTGTTTTCACCGGATTGGCTCGTTGCATCAGTCGGTAAATGGAAATCGCAAGTCGAGCTGTACCAGTTTCGCGCCGTGAACGAGCTGAAAAGGTAGGTCTAAGTTTCTTGTGGAGTTTGGGCCGTGCCTTCTTTCGCTAACTCACTCCTTCCATAGATTAAATGAATGTACTCATGTCATCACATGAATCAAAATTTTCCGACATGAGACTGTGAGTAAGACGAATTTCCTCCGTCGCAGGTTCATTTCTAACGACGATCGCTTCAACCGGCTGTTGTTGAGGCTCCCGTCGCTGCGTTCGCTAGATGCCGATATCACCGAGGAACTGTTCTTCGCTGGACTCATCGGATCGGTCCAAATCGATGCTATTATACCCTACATTCTCAAGATGGACGTTCAAGACGGTGTTGTGACTCACTGAAACCGTCATTGTTGTGATAAACGCAGAACACATTTGTGACGGATCCTTGCACCCGATCGAATGAATCGAGGACGGTCTCTCGCGATCGCCGGATCCGTTGATATTGCTGGCGCGCTCGACCCAGGCCCGTGGAAGCGGATGATCGGAGTCTGCCGGACCACGGGCTCGCCGCTTGCCTGACTTACTAAGCCGAATCACCATAGATCAATGCAGGCAAATGGTCGCAAGTGTGTATTTGGAGCAGCAGCGGCAAGCTGCCCAAGCTCATCTTAAGCCTTTGCGTACAAAATCCGAGGCGAATAGTAGGTTTTCGAATTTCCTCGTGGATAGGACGCTGTTTCCATCCGGTCCCGATGGATTCGTGGGAGGTTGAATGCCCAAACGAAAAAAAACTCATTGTGTTTACCCTAGAATTCGATAATTAGTAGATAAATGTGATGGAGATCTGAGCTTATGCGCAATCTCCGACACTATCAGAGCAGAATACGCGCTCGATTGTGATGCAGCAGCGAAGCAGATCGGAGGAGTCTCACTCCAAGGATCATCTGGATTTCGCCAGCGTACTTCGCGAAGGGGATGCGTTTGGATGCTCTTCGACCACCAAAAAATACTTGAATGTACAAAGATTCATCACCTAGGCCTGGATCATGATGATTCCGATGTCCAGTTTTATCTATTCTAGATGTCAGAGTACTCAACGGCGCTGCGGCGGGCGACCGCTCCGAGGTGCTACTCTGGATTATAATGATTTTCATCAGGATCTTGTTTCTCCCTTGAGTGTTAACGCATGCCTGTGAACGGTACCTCCAAACTCATTCTGTTTTCTCAGACTGTGTACCTCAAATGATTTTGAGTTAAGGTTCAGATCCATGTTCTCTTCGCGGCCCAACCCTCGTTCGACGATCAAGTCGAGAGCTGATCTTCGAGGCGATTATTCCAGCAAACGCCACCCACGGAAATATGCAGTATTGTCTCCGAGCATTTCTATCAGGATACGATTCGTAGCGATCTTCTCTTGCATTTCGAGTCTCGGAGTTCTTCGGGCGTGAATCTGACGAAGTAAACGAGGTGAGAGGTATCGAAGACGGTCAAATGAGAAATCATTGAAGATTTCGCATTCGATCCCAGTCAATGTTATGCCCGTTAACCTGTAGCGGTCGGTAACCGGTCGTCGGATTGATTTGCACTGTAATTAGCAGGCACGGAGGATTGTTATTCGTGGCATTCGGAAGCTCCCCTGTTCTCAAAGAGCGATGCTGAGTCCTGATTCCCCTCAAAGCCGTCCTGATTCTCTCTCTGGGAATGTTTTTCTCACTTCTGTCTTTCAGCATCGAAAGCGCGACTCGACTGTGTAGTTCGGGATCACGTCTCGAGGCACGCCTAGTGCTCCCGGGATGTTCTGAGCATCTCTGACTATGTGTGATAAGGGTTTCCGGAACGGATTCATTTTGCCTGTTGTTATTCCTGCCCCTCGAACACAAGTAGCACCTTGACCACGTTCACCATCATCATAATCATCATGGATTCGGCGAGCGCTCCAGTCGCTTGTATTCGGGACTGCGCTTAGTCACGAATTTTATTGAATTCACCCCTGTATCTACATCAGCAACGAGTGCGATCGACCAATTGATCACTGCAGCCATCACTCCATCACCATTATCACCATCGATTATCTCTAACTTTTAGAATGTAAAATGTTAGTCATCTGATGAGCTTCGTGAGTGTCCCACAATTGAAATGTTGTACATGGTGATCATTGTTTGGAACAAATCCTTTGCTATTTCTTGAGAAATGATCACGTCCCGTACGAAGTCCTGGCAGGGTCACTCTAATTTATTTCTTTGACAGAGAGAGAAAGCTCTCCTATTTTCGGACTGCGAGTCTGAAGCGATAGACGTTCACTACACCTAATCTTAGACCTATGGTTAACTCGAGTCGAATATTTGCATCGATCTGCGGGTCTGCTGGACTCGGTGCGGATCACGTTTTGTAAATCGCTTAGTTATGATCTTAATTATTATCATTACCATCATCATTGGAAATATTGTAGCTGATGATGAAGCTAATTGAGACTACAAACTTTCGAGGTATCTATAAATCGCGCATCAGGAACGAACTCCATCGAGAGAGGAAGATACCCAGGAAGATAATAATATGGTAATAAAGTATTTTTGTGACCGAGCCGGTCGATCCCTTTTCCCTCTGCATGCCAACGATCGAAATACGCTTGAAGGATCGCTCCGCGGATTTGGAAAAAAAGTTTTTTATTCAGTCTCGGAGCCTCAAGCTCCATCTGTCGGTGAAATGAAGTCTGCAGCTGGATGAAGCTGTCAGTTCTCGAGGGAGCACCTCAGTCCATTGTTGTTCGCATGTAGTTCTTTCCAGAGGGGACTTCTATTTTCTTGATGCCCGTGGGGAAGAGTTTCGGGATTTCATCCTCGGTGACCGTCGGCAGCACCATGCACGGAGTTCCTTTCTTCCAGTTGGCGGGGGTAGCGACTTTCCGGGTTTCGGTGACGATCAGCGAGTCCATAGCGCGGAGAACCTCACTGAGAATTAATAGAATAATCAGCTCAAAGTTGGAGGAGGAGAGGGACTCAATGTCAGTCGGACAGAATGAAGCAACGCTATTCCGAGAATGATTTACACCCGTCTGGGACGAAATCCATTCTCATGTCGAATCGTGGCATGCAGCGAAAACTTACTCAAAGTTCCGGCCGGTGGTCGCCGGGTACAGCATCGAGAGTTTCATTTTACGATCTTTCCCTATCATGAAAACAGCTCGACAGGTCAAAGGAATCCCTTCCGCGTCTTTTTCCTCGGGATCCAGCATTCCGAGCAGAGTTGCGATCTCCCGTTTCTCGTCGGCGATTATGGGGTAAGGGAACGGACCTTCCGGCAATTCGCCGAAGGCTTCGATATCCTGAAAAACATGAAAAATAATTTGATTCCTCGAAGAGTTGCTTCGTCGGAAGTTATGGTCTTGACTCCCTCGGGCGGCGCTTTCTCACCTTGATCCATCCGCGATGGTTTTCGACGGAGTCGCAGGATAAGGCGATTAGTTTCACGCCCTTGCTCGCAAAGGTCGGATGCAGCTGCGCGGCTCTCGCTAATTCGGTCGTACAGACCGGAGTATAGTCGGCGGGGTGCGAGAACAGGATTGCGTAACTGCAACGAACACGATCTGTGTTTCTGTACTCAGATGAAGATATTTCTCCGAAAACGTCCAGAGAGGTTCGCCAGATTTTTCCCCGTGCGCAATAGTTCCGACGTACTCAACTCGCGAAGAGAGATGATTGTGTCAATTGGAGCGCCTCCCATGAGGATTGTGAAAAAAATACTTTCGGAATTGACTATGCGTGAGTGATGGCCACTGGCCGGAGGGAGCGAGATGAGCTTCCGTATTCGAGATCCAAGAATTCCGAATCCATTTGCGAAAGACATATGAGAACAGGCGGTGCTTTTGAAGGGAAGCATCATCGCGGCTGCACTGGCTCGCTTCGAGTACTGATATCGAAGCTAGGACATTGGCATGCTCGGCGTTTCCAAAAAGCGCCGGGAGAATCGCGCGATCTGAGTGAGTGAGCCAATCGATCGCGACGCGTCGAGACGGTAGCGGCAGTGATACTGAGAGTCGACCTTTTGGTCCGAGCGACCTCCCCGAATGACTCATCCATTGAGAGATGTAACCAACTCTTATTGAGTTAGATTCGGATGCGAGTACTAGTCTGATCGCACGACCGGTACGGTACGTGCCGACTTTCGAAGTCGTGACTCTCTCCGTCAAGGCCGCGCGTCTGGTACTTGATGTTTGAATGATGCTGATTCGCCGGCGGCTGTGAAGTGTCGGCATATCTCAAGGAGCCGATTCATTCGAAAACGGCTAGGGGAAAGTCTCCCTGTGGAGTCACGTTCGGATCCGCGCATGCAATCTCATCAAGTATACACCTGTTCCACGGGGAATCCTACGGGGAGGTTTGGGATACGAGACGATTGAGTCGAAAGCGATCTCCGATGCTGCAAAATTATGCTCTAGGGCAACGCGTAACGCGCTCATGATCCATGGAACCTGTCCTGAACGGAGCATCTGTCTCCCAGGATGTCCGCAAGGCACTTCCATTCCATTCTTTTATGCTTCGTTGACTCGATGAAAAAGCATCCCTCCGGAATCCCGGATCTCGTTCCCGAGTACATGGAATATTATTCAACCCTCGGGTGTCGGGTGGTACCCTAACTCATGAAGAAATCAGTTCCAGCGAACATCATCGAGTTCTGGGGTGGCTGTGGAATTATATTATTCAACGACGCGACGTCGGTAAGAATTGTTTCGGAGTCTGCCACATCAGGCTTCGTCAGATATATATCCGAGCGGAGTCGAGCAGAGGCGACGGGCGGTGCCCCAAAAACCATCGAGAGGAATTCTGTCTGTTTCTCTCTGCGAGGGTACCATTCTGACGAGCCGCGTAAGCGGGCCGGATGACCAAAGGGAGCGCGCTCCATAGAAAATTGAAGCGAGCGGTTCTGTTTGTCAGAGGGAGACGATCTCGGAACGCTCCTCCATGAGACATGATTTCACCATATGTATACTAAGTGAGACTCGGCGATCAGGAATATTGTGGTGGCAACGCGATCGGCCCACTCCGTCCTCACGAAGTACACGATGACGTCGAGCTCACTCGGTACTCACCTTCCGTCTAACCAATCGTGGAACATGAAGTCACCCTCTGTCGTGTGACACTTGAAGTTGGGAAAGTCGTCGCCGAGATTCAGAGGTCCCATCGCGGAGCGTGACTTGACTGGTCCCGAAGTCAAACAAAGAGTCTGCCGTTCACGTTTACGGCGACCGGCGAAGCTGCAGACGCTTATAGCGCGCAGACAGCTCCTCTCCACTGAAAGGGTCTCGCGTCAGTCTCTGAAAGAGGGATGGATGAATGCTCCTGTATATTCATTCGGAATGGGACGTTCCTTTTCATCGAACGAAAATATTGTCCGGGATCTCTTTCACGTGTGCAAGGGTGAAAATTACTGAAATCGAGAATTGAAGAGAGGTAGTCTCGAGTCTCGAGTACGACCAACCGCATACCCCGTCGGGTGCTAGAGCTGCTCCCCGCGACGCCACGGAGAACGAGCCGAGCTCTCATCGTCGCTCCGCGACTCCAAGAGGACCGGCACTTGTCTCCTCTCTTATTTGAATACTGCCCCTGGAGCCGCGGTTGAGTGAGGATCGTTCCCGGGATGCATTATTTGACAACACAAAGAACAACGCCGCGCTGCCGGAAAACAAAGACCTGTGCCATCCTTCTTCTGAACAGATTGACGTTTCAGAATGCTTTTTCTGATGCTTTCGTTCGTATGTAGTCGCCCAACGAGGGTGCAGCCGCATGAGAAGCCTCACTGGTTCGCTGTACTCACCCGACCTTGAACGAGTCAAACCTTTATTGGGCTCGGCTACCTTTGGAATATTTCTCGTATCGAACACTATGCTGAGTAAGCCATGAATTGAAAGAGGTGAAGGATTGGTGAGATTGGGTTGTGGGAAAACTGATGAGAGAAACCTCCTCAGAACACGTGGCGGAAGCGAGGGCGCGAGAAGGTCCGCTCTTTCGCTCGACTTCTTCGTCGCCGTGGATCGCAGACTCTCCAGCTGCTTATACGAGATCAGGCTCTCAGATCGCTGCTGGAATAATTCAGGAACCAAAACCTCGAGCACAGTCCGATCGAGGACGGGCCCCGCCTTTCTCAATGGAACAATTTTTCCCCACGCTCGTGGGGGTAAGGAGAGTGGATTCATTCCTCCAGAGAAGTAAAACTCCGTGATTTATTTAAAAACTTGAATGACATGGGTTCGCTCTTGAATGGAGTTCGATTCGGAGCTCAGAGCAGCCGATAGCAACTATATCTTCCGCGAGCGTGCTCCACGCAGAACTAGCAACTCTCGTAACGGAGTGTTCGAGCTTCTTAGGAAGCAGCAGATAGAGTGATGAGGTTGCTGGCTCTGGGAGATTCTTTACCCCTCGATGAATATTTAGTAACAATGGGTTCGCTTGATAGCGTGCCTCCCTGTGAATACTGACTCAATACATGTCAGCCTTTTCCTTACATTTAGCATGTACTTGTGTAAGTCATATAATCATCTGTCTTCGTCGTCTTGTACATCCTTATTCGATAGAATATTTCAACGGTATTTTGTAGCTGTCCGATAATCGTATCCTTCCACACGGTTTCAGTCACTCCACACCACGACAATGCATAAAATCTGGGTATTCCATCGGTGACATATTCTCGTTTGCTGACGAGTCCCGCAAGACGGAATTTCGATTCTGACCTGTCATCACAAATGATCACGAGCCCCCCCTCCCCACCGCTCCGGGAGACCCAGCAGCACATGATGTACCCGCGCGCTTATAACTGACGGAACTGATTTTTTTAAGCAATCAATCGCGAATATATCTCCGAGAGTCCAATGAATAAATCAAACGAATAATAGTTTAATTACCGAGCAGCGAAACCGGTCATTCATATTCTCAGGGAATTAGCTAACAGACCGCTAAAAAGAATTAACGCTCGTGAGGTGTGGGGAACGATCTGCTGTCAATACTATAACAGCATGGATTGTATTTACACGAAGAGACCACCAACGAGAAGCCAGTCAGTCAGTCTGTCAGACCAAGCGGAACAAGTATCAGATGGCAGGCAGAGCTGCCTGATTGCTAGCATATTTTCTCTCGGTAACAACTTCGAATAAGATGACACCAACGAGGTTTAAATGCGACCACGCATAAATGGCGTGATCAAACGATAGCGGATAACTAAATCAACAAGAGACGCAGCAGGTGTAGTGAAGCTCTCCCTCTGAGATAGGAACAACAAATGTTTCCCGGGACCGTTTCAGATCCTTGCTCGGAGGTTTAAGGCGCTGTACTTTTCTATCACAGTACTTCTCTGATAATAATAAACCCAGCGCGGGAGAAACAGGATAGGCCATTCAGCGCTGGGTATCACTCCAAACAGGTCTTCGCGATTCGACCATAGCGGGTTAACCTTCGTCCGAGGCTCCCTGGTTGGCATTGTACTACATGACAGAGCAGTTCTGTAAATAAAAAAGAAATGAAATAATTCAGTTGAAGTCATCCCTCACCTCCCTCACATGAATTTAGAGTTTGGAAGCATGGGAATTCCCGCATGAAAGTTGAAAGTTTTGTCAACGCTCAAGTATATGAGCATAAGTGTTTCAGATGTGAAAATGCGGAGCGGACGTCACTCGAGTCCTCGACGAATAGGGGAACACGTCCGAGCGGGGGAGAATAAAGGCGGGAATTCATTTTGGAAAAGCTTCGATGGGGAAAATCCCGGAGAGCGACCGGGGAAGGTCTTCGAGTGCAAATACCCAAGGTCGGCGCCTAACATGCAGAATCAGAATTTCAACAAAAAAAAGTTAATTACAGCTCAAGCTGAGAGATTGCGGAATACAGTCGAATCAGTTAACATTGTCCGAATTCAAGCAATCCCAAAGTCGTTCCGGCAGGAGGCAAGAGGCTCTCGAGTTCATTACGTTCATCTCGAAGAAGCGGATCAGTCGGACGGAGCCGATCGTGGCCTCAGGAGGTTATTTTTCTCCACTCAGAGTTGAGAGTAAATTCAAGCGAGTCTACCCGATAATATTCTGTCCTTAAAGATGACACTTTGCCTCTGGGATTTGTTTGCCTTTCTCTCAGAGAAACTGCAACGTTCGATAAAGAGTCATGACAATGTTAAGAAACAAACAAACCGTCTGCGCACAAGAATATCTAGTCCCCGGAAAACCTAAAGACTAACCGATTTTTTCGAGTTCGACGCATTACTACCGGTCGGACTGCCGGATTGAGGAGGTCGCGACTCCGGTTTCGGGTCTCGAGGCGCTTCGGCTGGGGGTCTTCTCTCGCCTTCCGCGCGGGGAGTAGTGACTTCCGTAGGGGTGGAAGCAGGCGCGGCGGCGCTCGCCGCCTGCTCTTCTTCTTCCATCTGCATTTGCCGAGCTAGTTGCTCGTCTTGTTCGATTTGTTGTTCGCGACTAAGTTGTGGCGGTGTCTGACCGAAGTCCCCGTCGGTGAATTGACCGTCGCCCTCGACATTCGTTAGAGATTCCCACACTACCATGTGTTCGGTGAGGAATCCCTGGTCAGTGACCAATTGGTATAATTGATTCTACAGACGGAGGATAATGAATTAAGTCGAGCCAAAATTCCGAGATGATCGGTCATGGAGTCGCAACATTCGGATTTGATGAGGAACTCGAATGTTTCGGGTGAAATACCGGGAGAGCCCGCGGATCCGGTAGTGAAATGCTTACATTGTGCTTCATCAGGGTGCTGAAATGATTATTGCGGAATAGCACGGCCAACTCGTGGTCTTTCATGGTTGCCAAAAGCTGTCGGATACCGAACATCGTGAGTTGCGACGCCGTGCGCTCCAGGAAGTCCTCACATATTAGAGCTGCGAATGTAGGCCTATTGTTTAAAAAAACGATATCGAACTGAGATTTTACCGAATTCATTCATCGGGGAGGGGATTCCCACCTTGCGCCATTCTGACTTGGTCATCCGAAGTCTTTTCGTTGATTATTTTTTCCACGAGCTGGTTATAACTTAGTTTCCCTATGGTCTGACTCATCTCAGCTTCCTGGGGGTCCACGAGCCAGCCATGATACAACGGAATTTGCAAGTGATCGAAGACTGTGCATTCGGGTGTGTACTCGAAGTCGCGCACACTGGAAACGGAAAGTCGTCGATGAGAGGAGACCCAGAGGAATGCCGGGAAAAAAGACTCTGGTCTCGTTTCGGAGCGGGGAAATCCCAAAAACGGATCAAAAATACTTCTCGACTCACCCCGTGAAGCGCACGTTGACGTCTAGACCTGTTTGCAATTTCGGTAGGATCGTCATAGCGTCGTTCATATTTTGCTCGTAGTTAAGTTGCGCGCTTTCTGACAAGTCCCTGTGAATGGAGGAGGAGGAGGGAATAAATCACCCAAGATCCGGTATCAGGGCATCGGATCAAAACCGAGCAAAGAGGAAGGACAGAAAAAGGAAGAAAGGAGAACTATAGCAGAGAATGAGGGAATGTGTAGAGCAGAGGGCGATCGCCAAAAATTCGGAATTGCTCGTGATTGATAACTCACTTGGGCATCGCAGCGAGCATTGCATCTCCCAAATATTCCATAAGCTGATCGGCAGTGATAATTTCGACCATTGGGGGCAGCTGAACCAGGCCTCTCAGGATGAGCAGATTGATAATGGCCAGTAGAGGACACGGCCCATTCTCATTCTGGGTTATAATGGGGTATTTGACCCCACTCAGATGGACCCACTTGATGTGGTAGGCACTTTGACGAGGCGATTCCGCCATGTCTTATTCTGAAATGATCTGTAAAGGAAACGGATCTCTATAACCTATTGAATCACCCATCTACCGGTCTATGACCGACCTGTCACATCTTATTCCGTACCATGCACAAGAAACACAGAGACCTTCACTCCAGGAGAGCATCGCTAAGAATGCTCGACATTGAAGCTTGAAAAAGAGAAATCTCGGATCACTGAGCCTCAGGGGCTGCACGAAGAGAATAGAGGCCGAGTTCCGACTGACAAACAATTCCCCGAAGTCACGACGACCGAAGATGATGAAATCTCACGATCGAGGAATTTCTGGTTTACGGATCACCGAAGCAACAAGCACCATTCTTTTTCAGAAAACACTCTCAAGTCCGAGCGTCTCGTCATCGGAAGAATCTCATTGGCCCTTCATCAAACTTCAAGTGATCTCATCCACTGGGACACCCATGGGTCGCTTAGAGAAGAAGCCCTGCCAGAAACCATAATACCATCGAAATGGAAATGGCCCTCCGAATCCTCGTTTTACTCCTGGCGCCAACAACGTGAGTTAAAATGAATCTCTCGACCGAATACAGATCGGAACATTCTCAAGTTTCAAAAATTCGATAGATCGTGAGCTGGAGCTTCTGTTCCGCCAGCATGCCATACATCAATCCTATGTTTGCTCGTTAAGATGTAGTTCCCAATACCGAGCAGTTCGACCGTAAAGACCTGAATCGATGGAGCCGTTCGAGCAGATTTCATCTTGATGCAGGAGATTGCAGCGTCAACCGACCGTATATGTCAAGGTGCTGTGTGTCCCTCGTTGGCTCGGAACGACAATACGAAAAACCGAACGAGCACCTACACATTCTATGCTCGAGCCTCCGTCTGGTTGACAAAACCATACGGTGACTCAACGACCAGGTGAGCAAGTTACGTAGAATGTCGCGGACTCGCTTGTGTCAGTAGAAGTAGTAGCAGAATTTTCTCGTAGAATGAGCTAAGCAATGACAGTCGATTGAGGAAGCGAGATAGTACGGAATCAAAGAGAGAGACATCTTGAGAGGGAATCCCACGTCGCAACCTCATTCGGGAACCTCACGCGTAAAGCTAGAGGATCAGAAAACCGAGAACTGACCTTTTCGATACGGAGTCTTGTTCACAGCACTCATATAATCGGCATTAATCCCGACGACTCGAGCGTGACGGCAGGTCGAGCTCGTCAGGTAAAAGAGTCGCCAGTCGACAACACGAGAAAACAAGAACTACTGTTTGGGAAGTGAATATCGTAACTTTGTAAATACGCTAAGCGCCGAGCGGTTCGACAGAGCGCGGGCCGTGTCACCAACTAGATCTCTTCCCCGAATTCGACTCTCGCTCTTGGAATACTTGTACAATCGGAAAGACAAGAGGATCGCAGTCAAAACTAAAATCGAAGTCCGCCAATACCCCGGATCGAAGTTGACGATTATCACGTTAGGCGGCACGCTAATTCCAGAGCTGGTCCCACCCAGTGGTTGTTGCAGGGACTTCACGGCTCGCTCTGTCAGCTGTCAAACAGTTCCAACTCGAGTGTGTGTGGGCGTTCTCTCAGGAGTATCTCGGATAAGAATTCCCAGGTGAGCCGTTCGAAAACTCTGAAGGCGAGTCCGGTACCAGAGAGAATCTCGAGAGAAAGGCCGGAGTGTTGGAAACGTTTTCCGGCGGGAAACATTCGCTGCTCATCTGAAGCATCGCTCAGATTCGCGCACGATCGGATTGTCCCGCTTCAATGGAATCATTGCTGCCGAATTCATCATGAAGCGACGCTCCTCCGTCTGAAGTTCAGCTGGAGTCTGCTGAAGAGCACTCCTCGAGTTCATCATGGACTAGGAGCGGATGAAAATCGGCAGCAGGTGTTTGCAGTCACGACTGAAGTCGGTAGATGTTCATCAAGCGAAAGACAGACAATTGACGAGATCAAGAAGGCTTGTTCGGAGGGATAATTTATCAGTTCTGCCGGTCGGATCCCCGTCTCAGCTCTTGTGATCCCAACGAGAGTCGTGCACGGACAGACACTCCTGTTCGCCATTCCTGCGAGCATCGGAGTGGTGATGCATATTCATGAACGCATGAGCGAGTCAAGACGGAAGCGGAATGGGCCCTCAATGGGATCGAGGTCATGCCCTCCCAGTTTATCGGTCGGACATTCCGCCGTTAATCACGAGCGAAAGATAAAATTCCATCGACGATTCCCTCGGTGTGACATTAGTATTTATTAAGCGTCACCTAGCAGATCGTGTGAACTCGAATGATCAGGCCCATTCAACACTTTTCGAAGCTCCTGGTCTTTTGAAGGGAAGCTGTCATGAGAGAGCTACTGACGTATCGCTCACCATCAAGCAAAGAGAGAAGGTTCCCGACAAAGCGTGAATGCCGGAGGGCTCCCGCGGCTGGCTCCTGCGAAGGGTGCGGAATGAGCTGAGAAGCTCTCCGAACGAATCAGCGTCGTTTTCTCCCGGTGCAGGGAACTCCCTCGAGGTCCTATGGGACGTCGCTTCGCACTCTAGAAAAGTCAGCCGTCATAGCGGTGAACGGGGAATGAAACTTGAACTCTCACCTCATTACCGGAGCTCCACGCGACAACGCCTGCGGTTGTTTCCGGCTGATTGTGAGCTGAGATTTGAAAGTTGTCTGGTTGCCACCACACAAATAAACTTTCTCAATGCGATAGAATATTCGGGATTCCTGAGAATAGTGTTCGAGGAAAAATAGCGGATGACGTCATTCTTCTTCCCGAGACAACGCCCGAGCGCTTTCTCGGGATTCTGACCCTCCAGTTGCCCCGGATTTCGGGAAACGTAATCCAACGAATGGAGACTCCGATCTGCAACAAAGAGCTTGAGGGATCCTTCGCGATCGGAATCTGATTTTGATTGCCTTCGCCAATGACTTCCGTCCCTACCGAATGCGCTTATTCCCAGTGTATCTCTTGCGCAAGCGAGGGTCAAGCTTGATACAATTCTAGAGCTCCCTCGTTACCGGTGACGGAGGAGGGGATGAATCTTGGATAATCTTTAATCATAGAGACGATTCGGAACCAATGACAGTGCTGGTGACCTGGGATGAGGAATCATGGGTGGATACATTTTCCTGGGTATTTAGGGAGGAGATCGCCCATATCAAGAAGCGACTGAGTGAGACGAAGCTGTGCGTGGAAATCTGAGTCGTGCGGGAGATTGGTCATACCTGATGGAATATTCTTCTTGAGAACCGCGTCTCCCTCTCATCTGCAGGATCCATGTCCCCATTAGTCTCGTATGCTGAGCATCAGTTTCCGTGGGAAGCATGTTTGAACAATCCATGTATCGCGAGCGAGGACAGACACGAACAGGTTGAGGAGGAACCGGTTTTCCGCTGGATTGGCTGATGAGCTCTCAGAGAAAATCCCATCTCCTGCGATACTAGAGCTGCCGAGCCAATCAAATTTATATTCCGTCTGCCTTCGCGATAGAAATATCCCACCGTCAACAGATCACCTACTTGAGTCCACCATCTGCTGGAGTCAAACGCGACTTCTCCTCCTCGCCTCGTCGTCCACGACCTTTGCTGAACGAGATGAAATCGAAAGGGCCAATCTATCGCGGGCATAATTTGCGAGAGCAAGCGATCAAAGTTCCTCGTCCGGATGCGTGGGTTTTCTCTCAGACTTTGTCCTCTGGTTCATATCCGTGAGCAAAAGCCCGGGATTCAAACTCCTTCGGGAAGCATCGGGAACTCGACATTTCCATCTAATGAACCATGGATTGTACCCCCTACCCCTCGAGTGTCTTCTCCCTATTTCGATGCGACTACTGGACCCTTTGTTCCGGGGAATCTCCAACTCTCATTGTGGATGTCTCAGGCTCTGGTCTCTGGATGACTCCCTATGACCTGCCCCGCGAGTTCACGGGAGAAAGTCTTCAGGAAACGATACTTCCGTCCGTTCCTCCATGCATCATGTTCTACACTCCGGAAAAGGAGAACTGGGGCATGGAGGGACTCAAAATCCCCGGCGGTTTTTCGCTAAGGCTGAGAAGAAACATCGTACAAAGTTAATGAATGACATCACTCATATGTTTATTTCCCCCCGAAGATATGCGCTTCAAATTCTGCGGCGATCTTGACTGTCCAGATTGGCTGCTGGCCGCCATATCCGATCTCGCAAAGCTGAGCTCGATAAAGGTGAGTTCCCGAGGAAAATTGCATGGAGCAAGAATGGAAACGTCGGAAACGGATGGACCTCGTGCGTTCGAGAATCAGCGTCCGTCGGTGCTCCTGACAATCGGAGCGTCGCGGAGAAACGGAACGACGCGGGAAGCGTAAGGGTCTGAAGAATGTACCGGAGCCGAGTTGGCGGGCAGAGATGCTAATGAAATCCCCAATCTAGTAAATAAGTCGGGAAAGTAGCACGCGAGGCCCTCACTCACCCTGCTCGGGGTGGGGTGGGATGGAAGTTGGAAGACCCGCTTTTGAACTCACCTCTGAATCTGCGGAAATAGCAGCGCTTAATTGATGCGCGAACAAGCCCAGCCATTCCGCGCCGATGGAAAAGTGTAGGACGAAGAAATATTGCGGAGCATGGTCATTTCTTGAAATTCTTCCGCTCACCCGGGAGATTTATTCGAGGGGGATTTTGGGGATGTCAATTCAATAAGCAATCGACGTGCGCGCTCCTCCCGATCCCCTCGTAAAGGCAGCTGTAATTAGCGATACCGCATGTGTTGGAAATAGCCTACAAATCACGGTCTCGGCTTCCAGGTTAGGTGGGGAGCGAATTTCCTCGCGCAGTGCATCGCAGACGGCCTGACCAATGAAGATGGATTGTCTCGCGCCAAAGACAAGCTAGACAAACTTGAGCCTGAAGCCGTGTCAGCAATAAACGAAATACTGACTCTGGCCACTCGGTAAGTGGCCCGGATTCGGCTCCCGATCGTTCAGACAGTTTCAGCAGTGGACTATCCTCATCGGGATCTGATCCACGCTCATCGGTTCCCAATTAGATGACTGGATAGGATTCCGTTCCGTGACTATGTTATACCAGAACCTAGAGGGGATCGGAGGAGGCTCCGAGCCGCAGCTCTAGCGGGAGAATCCAGATTTCCTGCAGCCGTTTCCCCATTCGGCGAAAGAAGCACCTTGTAGGGGCGGCGGCTCGCCCAAGGTTCACGCACGGCAGCGGATATGTTGTCGTCGGCCGTGAGAAGAGGGAAATATTTGTGGGCAAACTCCGAATAAGATATAATCGCGACTAGGTAATATTCGCGGAAGACGATGCATTTGTCGCGACCGTCGCAACTGCGGGAACGAGCTCCTGGACTCGTGGCTCGAAAGCGAAACGATCCGGCTGCTGCCACTGATGACGGCTTCTGTGCGATTTTCCCAACACGCTGGGAACCCACAAGCGACACAATCGAACCAATTTTGTTTCTACGCTTTCGCCTGCCTCCCTCCGGATTTTTTCCCTCTCATTCGAGAGCTTTCTCGAACAGGCGCGGCGAGATCCTGATCGTTTGCGGAAACCAAATCTCTCATCGATCCCTCGGAGTCGAGAAGATTTCTATTTTCGGAAATCTCCACCGGGGACTGATCATCAGAAGGCAGATCATGGGCGGTTCTTCCGAAAAAGTGCATGGAAATCAGTTTGGTGAACCTCCGCTAGATCATTATGGTGAGGGGACATGGGTAGGCGGCGAGCTAAGCAACAGAAATGTTGACTTCAATGTTCGGTTTCGGTACGAAGTCTTCTGTTTTGTAATGTTCTTCTCCCCCCGAAACGTCAGTCGGAAACGTGTCAGTCGCTTCTCGCTGTGCAATGTCCGGAACGAGAAGCATTTTTATAGTTGGAGTGTTTACATTACAGAAATCAGGTGGAGGAAACAGCTCTTGTTGATGAGCTGCAGCAGCTGGGTCTGCCTCGAGAGCACTCGACAGCAATAGGCAAAGCCTATGCCGAGTGCAGAGCTCGAGCAGCGCAGAACCTTCGCGAGGTTTTCATACGACGGAAAGGATCGATATCCTTCAGGAAACAATGCATCGACGGTCAAGAATTCGTCGCAGCCCGGTTGGATAACGAGGACTTCATCATTCCGCTAGGTTTGGCAAAAATCCTACTCCAAGATCTCCGGGAAGCCCGGAAAATACTCGAAACCCACGAGAGCGGCGCCACATGAATCGTATCAGGCGTATCATTAGCTTTCCAGCGGACTTGAAAGAATTGTTGTTGAAAATAAAGTTTTTCTACTCACTTAAATTTCCTCCCGCGTGTTGTCTCCACCGCTAAGGCTACGAAAAGATTGTCGCAAACTTTTGCTGTATCGATCTTCATTCCGAAAAGGAGCAGAAAATGTTCCAGACAGCTTTATCAGTGATACACAATCCAAACCCATATGATCGACTCGTCTTCAACAGTTTCCGATATGCCTCTATCTGATATTGAATACGGAAGAGGAAAGCCGAATCTACTCCCTCGATCCGGCGTCGAAGTGCGGAGCACTGGTCGAGGAACTGTTCTGGTTTACCCTGGCTCTTTGAAAATTTCGAGCGAGGCGGGAATTCTACAAATTATCATCAGTCATTTCTCCTCGGAAATGATGCCGTCCCTGCTGGAGCCCCTTTGCCTCTAGCTCCGTCTGAGATCCGTCTGATGGGGCTTACGTCACTTGAGACCAGGCGGCCTCGTTTCAAAACTAGAAAATTCCAAAATGAAGTAAAAACTCGTTTCCCTTATCTCACTTGTCCCACACGTATCCCGCTGGTGACCACGATGTCACCGATACCACGTACCGCCAGAAAGTTCATTGCTCGTGTTTAGAAGACCACAGATGTCGACGTCGTGGTGGTAAAACACATGCTAATTTGCGACGTCTACGTGGAAGCTCCCTCGAATCACTGCCCACCGACGCCACTAACAGCGAGTACAGCTCGTCGATCGCGGCAACGAAATCAGCACATCCAGAAGTCCATAGAAAAACCTGAACCTGTCATAAAAACCACAATTGGTTTTGGCTTGTCCTCAATGCGGGAAGTATTCTGCTGGGGAAGCGATTATCCGTCGGGGGCCTTAAGGAGATTAAACGCGTTTTCTCCTGGAATAAATCACTCGAATAGAAAGCGGATGTTTCATAATGCTGCGCCGCGGAACCTGCAGCGTATCACAGAGCCCAATCCCATGGAAGGATACAAGTCGCAAGACCACCACATATTCCGGGATCATACGGGATTCATTCGTCTACGGGCAGATTTGAAATGCAGCGAGCGCAACAATCACGATATCTCTACAATAAATAATTATCTACTCCTTCTTCCCGTTTGATGTAAACGATCGTTACTGGGGTCCTGGAGCACGCGGGGAACTCCGCCGGGCATGTTGACATGTAGCCTGGAGAATACCTACATTCCCCGTCAACGATCCATCCCTCTTTCTGATGTGGAAAGTATAGATAATAAGTTTGCGGCGAGAGCTGCGCAACGGAGGCGATGGTAGCCCCGACGGAGCAGCGGTGCGTTTGACCCGTTACTTCTTTCAAACGGTGAAAGAGCAGCGTGCGGTGCTGCGCGATCCCGCGAAGAGCGCCGTTGAAAATGTGACAGCCTCGCGCCATTCACTCGCAACTGCATTCCGATCCAGAGCTCGCCATGACAGTGTCAACCGACGATTTGGATAAGAGTATCGTGATCACCTGCAACAATCGCGTCCGGAGAATCTGACCCCGAGCTCAAAACAGATACAAAATCTAAAAGTGCGCGAAGTCGTCACCCGGGAATAAGTGTCCGAAAAACGGATGGAGTAATCACGACGGAATTGCGGCGATAATTGAGGATAAATCAGCGACTCCATTCAGCTGGGAGACCGTTACTCTGAAGGAGGAGGGATCGAGGCAATCGGTGAACATGCGGGACTGAGTCGCTCGACCGACTCGCTGGGGGACCGAGGAGAGACTGACTGGATGACTTAGGAAACTCTTCAGCTGGTGAAGACCTTTCGCTTCGAGCGAGCAGCCCTTTCCCTCGTTGGTTGGTCGCTCGCTCGCTCGCTCGGTTCGTCTGCCCGTCCGTCCGTCTCTCGTAGAGCCCGTCTGGCTGCGCTGCCGAGGCTGAAGCGCCCTCTGGTCCATGGGCTAGAACCTCGAATAGCCTTCGCATCTCTCTCCACACTGCTAGCGGCTGTGTCACACCAGGCTTCCTCTACTCTCAGCTTGTTGGAAATAACAGCAGCAGTGAAGGCAGTTCGGCAGATTATCGACAGAGCCGAAATTCAGTGGCTTCAACTGTAGCAGTGCACCGAGTGGTGATCCTTTCCTTGCTGTGGAGTGCTAGAGCACAAGGCGTCATTCGAGGGAAAGAAAAAGCGCTTAGAATGTGATTAGAGCGACGACTCAACTCGTTATCGAGTCGCCAGCTCGAGTGTGTGTGCCCACGGGAACCATCGGCGGAAGTCTCGTCGTCTCGTCAATCGTCGTCGCCCCATCGGCTCCCGATCGGCACCGACCGTGAGGTGTCTGCTGCACTGAGGGGTCTGCAAAGAACCTCAGTAGTGATGTGCGACGAGTTCTCCATCGCTTGACGCTGATCGCGCTGGACGACGACGGCAGGACGGCGGAGACGGCGACAACGACGACAAGCATGGAACAAAAACCAACAAACGAACAACGCCTCTTCGACCGCGAGCCCCCAGCGCGTGGGCTGACAGCGCCGTCCCTCCTTAAGGCCGGTGTCCTGACTCTGTCGGGCACGAAGATGGCGTTGTTCGTTGCGGCTGTGCTCCTCTTCGAGAACTTCTCAGGTGAGTGACCGAAGGACTAAGTGACGGACTGCCTCTACGGATGCACGGAGATATTAGAAGAAAGTGAGAAATGAAGTCGTCCTGGGCCCCGACCTAGATCCGGACAGCCGACCGGGCAGTCAGCCCTCGCTGCCGTTTCTTGGCAGCGCCATGGGAGCCGAGGAAAGTTCCCTCCGTGACCTTGGAGAGTGATCTGACCCTAGGTCGAGGATTTGAGCGTTCTTTTTTCGCTTGATTTTCGGAATGGGGATCTCGATCTGAAAGCCTCCAGCCATCCGGGAGCTCGGGCAGTGCTGGCCGTGGCTGTCCACGTCGTCGATGCCACCGTCAACGACGAAGATGATGAGATACGTGTCACGTGTCCTTTCGCACAGTCGCCATATTAGGACGACATGGGGATGGTGTGCACTTTATCAAGTAGCCCCTCAGCCGAATAGGGGGTTCCTCCCTGATTTTCGGGATTTCCCCCTGCTCGGGGAAGGCTTTATCGTCCCGATGACGCTCCCGGCGCAAGAAAACCCTCCGCAGGAAGAGCAGCTCAGGATATTCGCCCTGAGTCCCGGAACCAGTTCAGCGGGAGCCGTTTTTGGGAAAATTTGCCCTTTCGATGAGTTTCGTTTTTTTTCGTTCGATTTTCGTCATCTGCATCTAATTGACGTACATCCCGATTTGATTGCGAGAGGATTTCACGCGGGCACGAACAAGCCTGCTCGCCGTCTCCCGATCGAAAATTCATGGGACAGTCTCCACCTTCCGACGTGCTGCTCCGCACCAGCACGGAATGTCATCAAGCCCCGTCGAAATTCGACCCGAAAACTACGCGCCGATGTGCAATGCCTTCAACCCCCGAGGAGGACATGAAGTCATCATCTCTCGGGCACATGAGCATGAATTTATGCGGAGGCGAGGTCAGCGCGGTAGATGGGGAACCCCTGGAGTGCAATATCCGCGGATAAATAAGGAACTACCGAGGGAGCGATTTCACTTGCCTCGTTCACCTTCTCAGTCGGGGTTGGAAGGTCTCAAACTGTACCGGACGTAATCCGGACTCGAGTCCTTGAGGGGGTGTAGCTCCAAGATCGAGCATGAATTCGGAACCGGATGCTGCGCTCTATCATGGGGCAACGGTGCTTCGCAAAGACAAATCCTTCCGCTTCCACGTCCGCTGATGAGCATTCGACGTATTTTTTTTGCATATAACATACACAGATGGATTTGGTCCGAAAACCGCTTATCAAGCATGGGAAGCAGCTGTCCGGCGAAAACGAAGCCATGAAGACGTCCGTGTTGACTGTTCCTTTCTGTGACAGCCACAGGGAAATCATCCATCCACGCGGTCGGTCGGCCGGCCGGCCGAGCGACGACGAATAAACGAACGGCCGGACGGAAGCACGAGCATTTTTGATAGGAAACAAAAACGAAACAACATGGGAATCGTCGCTGTCGTCGACTCCGTCGATATTGTGAGCAAAGCGCAGCGGCGGCAGGAGCAGCAGGAACCAACGAGGCAACGATCGAGCGGAGTTTGCGCACTGGACCGTGCGCTGCGTGATGATCACCGGCGGAGAAGACAGCAAATGTTCGCGAATTTCCCCGCGGCAGACAATGTGGAGCTCATCGAAGGCTCCTCGGTGACTTCGTTAACGATCGACGATGACGACGACGTCATCGCTCAAAACCGACTCGGTGTGCGCACTCAGGTCCCAACGAACTTCGAACACGAGATTCTGGCCCTCGTCCACTATTAAAAACGTTCGTACGTCCGTCGAGGTCCGCGTCTATTGAAAGCTGAGCTCTTTTGAAGACTGACAGCCCGATTCGACGGCAGCAGCTTTGTTCCCATTACTCGAGAGAATCCGAGAGCCTAGGGGACAGCTGTTCGAGGTGCAAGACGAATGACCGGAAAACTCGCGGCTAAACGGCAGATATCGCAGGATTTTACTCGCTGAGCTGTAGTTTCCACACGAGAAGCCGGACTTAACTTCACGATGGCACAGGCGGATAGCGGTCGGGCATCGAGGGAATCCTTTGATCCCTTGGATAGTCTGATTCTGAGACAGGTGCAACTAAATCGCAGATGAACTCGTCCGGGCGGAGGCCTAGCCTTCGCGTGAGTAGGCTTCGCGTGGATTCGCGTGGATTCGCATGGCGATTCCGTTCCGGGGAGGTCCAGAACTCCGACAAGAAAATCGCTCGAACGAAACCACCTGATATCAGGCATTTCTTGCTTTTCCTAGTGTCAGGTGCGCTCGATGCTCTGAGCTCGAGTGCTTTCCTGAGAGCTACATCGGAAACTTCTGTGCCCCCGTCCCTGCGTCCTCCAAGACAGGCCCGAGGCGGAGGGATCGAATTTTTCTCTTCCTGTGTCGATGACACGTTTTCCTATTCTCAGATTCTCCGGCGCCCATGACTTTGAATCGTAGCGCCTACCATGATCCCTCATGGCTCATGGTCCATCATTC